AACACAGCCAAAAATAAACAAACAAAATAAATAAATTTATTTTTAAAAATGGGCATACTACTTGTTTCATTGAATTATTATTAGTATTAAATGAGATAATGTTGTAAAGACCTTACTGACCCCATAGCCAGCAGAGAATAGATACTGAACAAATTGTAGTTCTTTTGTCTTTTCTACACCAAACAGATGAGCTGCTTTTCATCTTTTCTGGTTATCATCGTGCATATGTAGCCAAGGAACATCTTCTGTATGTACCTCTTCATAAGTGGACCTTGGCTAGTAAACAAATCTAGCTTATGTTCTTGGTCCATACTTTTGCATTTTCATTACATTCCATATATGTCCTCCAATTCATGTCTCCCTTTGTTGGCATTAAGTGTATACAGTTCTTACAGATTCATACCTGAATAGTAAAAGAGACCAGAGTTCATATCTGAATAGTAAAACTTTAATCTATATGTATAATAGATTATATGTATATAGTTTTAATACTTCCCACTCCTTCTATTAAGGTCATATATTTACACTTCTAAAGGAGGATTGAAGACAGTCAACTTCAAAATCTTAATTCATAAAATCTAATATTTATTCTGGCACATTATTTAACTGAGAATACTAAAGATGGGCTGGGGCTACCAAGTTCAAGGTCACTTAAGTTGTTTATTTTTCAACTGTAATATTTTGATCCTGGACTGAGAAGAATAATCATTTGAAGTATCTTCTACTTGCAGGAAAGAAAACATTTGTTTTGGAATTAGGCACTTTCTTATAAGCCTTTCTCTAACTTAAATTTCTTCACAGGAAAACACTAAATATGGAATATCCCTATGTAGTTGGTATTTTTTTTACTTAGACTATTTTAGTGCATTTATGACCTGAGTTGAAAGCTGTTCACACTATGAAGTAAATATTCCTATGACATTTTTCCCTTTTAAATAATGGGACGAGGAAGTCTATTAAAGGTGTATTGTTTTATATTATTTGCTGGATTTAATTTAGTATGCTGATAAAAAACAAATGTTCTCTGATGAGAACAAATCTAGGAAACCTAAGCTCTAATTTTAAAAGCTAGCACTTAAATTGGACATCAGGTCTTTTTAAATTTTGTACCCGTTACATTGAAGAAAGTCTTTAACTCAAGCTTGATGAGTAAATTCTAACTTCACAGACACAGCCCCTTTCTCCCGTCTGCACTTCAGGGTGAGGTAATGAGTCTTATGCAAGTAACTTGACTTGCTTGATGACTGAAGGTCTTCTGTTTTGTCCATAAATGTAGATGTATGTATTATGTGTGGGAGGTCTTATCTGTACTGAAGGAATTGTGTTTTAAGCAAAGCAAAAATAGGCAAAGTACTGTACATCATTGCAGTCTTGCTGTTTTGGATAATGGAGCCATTGATTGCATAGCATACCACAAGACACTTTTAAAGAGCTTGAACTTCTTTTCTATACCATCTTGGGTCAATGGTGAGTTTATTATTTAAAAAAAAATCTTTAGCTGTTTACTTTTACCTGAGAGTTAATCTCAACTCTTATGACTAACCTCCACTAGAGTAAGACATGGTTAAGATTTCAGTCGTAGAGGAGTGAATTGCTCAAATTTACTGCAATGTAGTTCTAATTTAATTTTTTTAATTCAGGCAATTAAAACATTTTAGATTATGATGGTATCAAAATTGGTTACTTTTTGTCTTGCCATTGGCTGGCTGACTCAAAACTGTCTTAAACCATTTCTTGTCTGTAGTTTTCCTGTAGGTTGTTTTATTGATACGCTGACATACTGCAGATCATGCAAATTTAATTTGTTTGAAGCCTTGTTTTTTTATTTCTTTTTCTCCTTTTATTATTTAGAAAGACATCCTGGTGAGGGGAAATGTCTGTATTTTATTCGTATTACTTCTCACATACTTCAAGGGCATGTTTTGATGTTAAAACAGAGAATGTGATGCATGTGTGTAATTTTATCCATGTGGAAAATGAAAATTTAAGACAGGCCTGAATACAAGTGTTGCTCATTGTAATTTATTCCCAAGTAAAAGAGAAGAAAGAAATTTGCCTTAAAAAATTAGATGATCAGTAGGAAGGGAAATTGACCAGGACTGTATTTACACATCCTGATCCCTGATATAAGATGCCACAGATTTCTGGTATAGTTTTATCTTTTCATAAAATGAATTTTTGTTTCACAATAATTTAGGACCTCATAATACTTTATTTTTTTTCTTTACCTGTTGAGAGACCTGGATTGTTTGACCTGTAGAATTTCCCACAATCAGTATTTTGTTGATTATACACTCAGGAACAATTCAGCATTTTCTTCTGTTCTTTGTTTTTCCTGGAAACTGACAGCTAGTTTCAGAGGTTTGACTAGACTCAGGTTTGATTGCTTTGGCAAAACTGTAGTTGTGTTCCTATCATTAGGAGGCATATAATGTCCAGTTTTTTCTCTTTTTTGATGTTATTAGCCATTGATGCTCGATGGCTGCAGAGATACTAATTACTTGCAGTTTGTGAAATGGTGATATTTTATCTTTTGTTTCCCATTTATTTGGAATAATTTTATAGAGAGAGCTCTCATATACTTTTTGGCTACTAGTACAGTTTATATAGGGAATGTAGGATGAATTGCTGATTCTTTCTCTTCCACAGTTTTCAAGATAATGAACTGGGCCCCTCTCAACCTCAGAAGATGATCAGTTAGTGTGGTAGTGCTGTGGTTGGTTGGTTTGTTTTTTTTTTTTTAAAAACCATTACGATCTATAGTCAATTGTACACTTAGTTAGTTAGTTCTCTGGTAGAGCTAGGAAGAGGCCCATGGGACAATATTCCCTGAGTTCTTGAATGTTGATGAGCTTCTTCACTGTGTTTTTTTTTGACATGACCTCAATTTTACATTGTCTTTAATAGCTTCTTTACTGTTGCATATGTCAGGGTGTTCCAAGTTCATCTAGTACTTTTCCTTTGCTAAACCAGCTGGTTCTTTAAGAACTTCTGATTTCTTTTAATGGAGAATGGCATTTCAGGATAACAGTCTGGGCCCTAGGAGTGGTTAGTACTACTTGATTAGTCAAGGTGTTAGGTGTTTTAAGTGGACAGAGCTAGGACATACATGTGACTTGTAAGACTGTACTGATGTTTCCAATATAGATTCAATACTAAAGAGTTTTTACTTAACTTCTTCTGTATTCTTATATCTATAGTTCCTTTCTTCCACCCAGAGAATGCTGTTTCTCAAGGAGATGATACCATTAGAGTATCCCATAATTTTTCATTTGCTTTATCAATAATTTTATAATTATTCATTTGCTTTTTAAGTACAGTGGTCTCACAACATTCCAATTACCAATTTTGATTTCTGAAATCAGTTACTTTTTGTTTATTCTTTCTTCGTTTGTTTTGGCTGTACTGTATCTTCATTGTCAGATCTTATAGCCATTACATATTATAATCTCTCCATTTAAAACTCTCATTTAGTCTTTTTTTTTTGAACTTTTATTTTTTTTACACAGCAGATTCTTGTTAGTTATCTATTTTATACATATTAGTGTAGATATGTCAATCCCAATCTCCCAATTCATCCCCCCTGCCCCCACTTTCCCCCCTTGGTGTCCATACTTTTGTTCTCTACATCTCATTTAGTCTTAATTCTACAGTCAGTTGTATATGTATGCTCACCACCAGTCCTTATTTAATGTCTCTCTAGTCACTTTGGTTGCCTAAAGTTAGTTTTCTGGTAGAGCTAGGAAGAGGCCCATGGGAGCAATATTCCTTGAGTTCTTGCATGTTAGTAATAGTTTTTCTTTACTCTTTATACTTAAAGGTAAGTTTTACTGGTTGTAAAGCCTTTGGTTCAATTTTTTTTCCTTGTGTGTTTTAAATATATTATTTTGTTTTCTTCTGTTGTTTTCCCTTATTAATCTTGTGATGTATTTGCCTAAATGCCCAAAGGATTCTTTTTCCCTTTAAAGTCCATTAGTTTTAGTAGAAAATGTCTTGGTGCATTGATCTGAGTTGATTAAGTAGGACACAGGATGCTCTTGAAATATGTAGTTTCAAATATAGATGTATATATATATATATGTGTGTGTGTGTGTGTGTGTGTGTGTGCATGTATAAATGTATTTATACGCACGTATAACTATATACATTACACACACATAGCCACTTTTTTTCCTCTGGAAAGCTTTCTTGAATTATTGTCTTTCAGTATTTGTTCTATTCTCTCACTTTGGTTTTCTTCTTCAGGGACTCCTGTGTTTATCCTTATGCTGGATCTTCTTTGCCCATCTCCAATATTTATCCCCTTCTTACAGATCCTTTTTAATCTATTTCTTCTTTTTAAAAAATTTGTTAAAGATTTTCTTCCATCTTACCTTCTATTTCTTTTAAGACCTTTTGTGTTTGTTTGCTCTTGTATTTCTTATAGTCTTCATTACTGAAATGATTTTTTGTTTGATTTCTCATTATTTCTTGGTTTCTGCCTCCTCATTTCTGAGTTTTTCTGATTCTGATTTATATTGCTCTTTCATGTATTATGTAATTTTCCCATTATCTCTCATAAAACATGTAAATGTAAATTTTATTAGAGTAAAATATATAGCCCTAAGGATTATTTGACATACTTTAGATTAAATAAGCAGCTGTAATTAATTTAGACATTGCTTTAAATCAAGGCTTTTAAATTGAAATTCTGTGAATGAACTTCAGAGTAGATAACATTGCTTTATTATATGCAAAGTAGGGTGTATATGTATGGGGGTAGGGAAAGAACACCTTCACTTTCTTTAGACTTCCAGAGAGGAGTGTAAACCATCCCCACAAAAGTAAGGGTAAGGACCTTTGCTTTGTGTATGAAAAATCCTCACATGTTTTAATGATTGAGCTTATAAGAAATGAAAACAAATGATAGATATAGTAGTGTTAAGATATAGATGTCGCCAGGGATGATATTACATCAATTTCATTATCTATTCGCTTATGATCGCTCTAATTTTATGCAGATGGAGGGAACGAGGAAGCACCGGATCGAAGACAGTCAAGTGTAGACTCTCGCCAAAGCCGCTCTGGGCAAGGTAAATTTTCCTCAAATTTATTATTAAATTAAAAAGAACAGATACCAGCTATTCCTTTCCAGTACTTAATCTGAGGACTGGGGTTTTCACTGGGTCAAGTTTAGATATTCTCATTTCTCATTTAGGAGTTCAGATGTTACAATCTAATTAGTTCCATATGATAATCATCTATTCAGGATAAAAGAAAAGGAGAAATGGTCTCTTTTTTAACGATATTAAGGTTTTAAGTAATTTTGGAGCATTGTGGTGTATGTCTGGATATCACTTTTGGAATATAACCGAAAGTAAATTTTTAGCAGTAACGTTTGTTGCAAGTATCATCACACTGGCTTTTAAAAGTTCATCAGTGCAATATTTGTTGTCTTAGCTGTCTCAGAAGAAATGGGTTTTGTTTATAATGATTACCTAAAATTAAGATCTTCTTACTTATTTTCCTTTTCTGTTTAAAATTTATTGCCATAGGCTTTTGACTGGTATTTTTGAAGTGACCACTTCAAAACTAGGTTAAAGTATTCTCTACCAGTGGATTTTCAGATAGGCCTTCCCTAAGGAACATTTAAATTTGCAGGACTAGCACCTCCACATTTTTCTTTATAGTACTTATCACCTTTATATTTGTTTTCTCTATCCAAAACTAGAATGAATGTTTCATGATTGCAGAGATTTTTGGTTTTCTTTGTTCACTGCTGTATTTCCAGTGCCAAGAATAAGTACCTGGTATATACAATAATAGTTACTGAATAAATACTGTTGGATGAATGAAGTCATCTCTAAGAGAATGAGAGTTAGGAACCCAGACTGATTAAAATACTGCAAAATTTCAAGCAGTCATTACTGAGTTTAGTTTTTTGAGAGTATTTACAAATAAAATAAAGCCTTAGATATACAAATGTGTGATGTTTTAATCCTATAAAAGCTCCTGGTTCATTTATTCTGTAATTCTGTTCCCTTTTTTCTCCAACTTTGCTCTTCCCAAGTATCAGAGTTGTACTATTTTTAATACAGTGGTTTGTCACAGAATAAAAAGTAGAATAATATATGCAGGTTGATTTGGAAATTTAAATTTACACCAGTACTTTTAATCATTTTTAAATAATATGCATGTATTATAAATGTCAGGAATTTGTATAAGTTTTTACTTTTTCATGTTACATGTATTTTGATATAAAAAAAGAAATTAAGAGAAAAACTGAATTGTAATATATAACTATATCAAATCAACACATTGTACACCTTAAACTTATATAATGTTTTATGTCAGTTATATCTCAGTAAACCTTGGTGGCGAGGAAAGAAAGAAAATGAGTTTATGTGTTTAAAATCCTTGTTGGGCTACACCCCGCAAGCTTGCATGCCCTATACTTGCCCAACCTCAAGACAGAAGAAAGAGCCCAGAGTCAGCAACAGAGACATCGGTGGTTTAATGGATATGAGAATCTTACATGTCTGAAGCAAGGTCCTGTGTGCAGCAGACAGTGGGCAGGATATGGCAGCAGTCTTCACTCCCGGGAGCGGGGATGGGTGGAGGTGTTTACCAGTTATAGGGGGAATTGATGTCAGGTTGGCTCATCGGTTACCAGGGAAACCAGCAGAGGAGCACACCCCTCACTGCCCCTTTGATACTTATCGTGGTGGAGATGTTCTGATCTGAAGATTAGACCAGGCATTTACTGATTAGGCTCTATGATTAAGAGGGAAGGTCAGTCATGTGAGTAGGGTGTAGGTGAAGCAGGGACTGGTGAACAGGGCATGTAGAGAGAGCAAGAGAACAGCCACCTTGGGTGCCCTCATCATATAACCCTAAAAACAAAATTAGTACAAATTAATAGAAAAATAATTATACTAATTTTTATTAAAGTTTAATTTTATTTAATGTCACAGATATAGATGTGGGAGATTATTAATTTACCTTGTGCCCTCTGAATTATGTCAGTTGAAATATTTTTCAAATCAATGAGTATAATTGAATTTTAGTAACGAAAGCTGAACTTAACAACAAAATCAGTGATTTTCATGATCTGAGCACAGCTGCCTGATCTCAGAACTCATCAGGACTGATCTCAATTAGAAGTCATCAGGAACTGTATCATTATGAGAGTTAACTGATATAAAAGCATGTTTCTCACCTTCTTAGAGAGTTTATTTGTAATACAGTAAGTCCCCTACATACGAATAACTTCAAGTTGCAAACTTTCAAAGATGCGAACATGTGTTCGCATGTCCACTCACGTAAGTTAGTTCACGTCTGACGTATATTGTCACGTACGTGCATCCTCTACAAGTGGTTGTGCTTTTATGTACTTTACTGTATAGAGTACAGTTGTACAGTATCTTTATTTCTTTATTTCAAGCCCAGGATGTCTGGAAGCAAGCATAAAAGCAGCAGTGTATAGCCAACTGTGTTAGTTGTGTTGGACTTTCGAACAAATTGGACTTCCGAACGCACTCTTGTAACAGAACTTGTTCGTATGTAGGGGACTTACTGTATCTTTTTATTCAAAAGACAGAAATAAAAATACAAAGCCATCTATAATGAGTTGGAATGAATGAGAATCCATATTATCAGGAATGAAGAGATAGGATGAACACATACTTCTACTTTTTCTCCTTTCAGAAACCTGCTAAAAGATCAGCAAAGGGGAATTAGAGAGGAGACAAAATCAACACAATTTTAGAAACTAGGGAGTATATGAATAATTGTAGACTGGATGCTAAACTCAGTAGCAGAGAAAATCAAGAAAATAATCTGATTTACCCTCCAAAAGACTAAAAAAACTCAAGAATGGCAGCATGTGGAAGTGGAAGTGAAAGGAGGATTGGTTGAAAGTCAGTCAAAGAAGCCCTTGGTTCCTGGGACCTCCTTCTCAAAATTAGCTAACCAGTTAGCTTGACAAGTGCCCAGCTCTTCACCCCTAACTTTGGCAAAGGCCAGAAATTTATTCTTTGGAGAGAGCAAAAGTAGAGACTCTCTCTAGAGCAGAAGACACCAGGCATAGTGGAGGGCAGGAGTCCCATACTGAAAATAATCAACCTTTTAGTCTTTTCTCCTAACTGTGAGCAGCTGACCAAGGATTACTAGATATTTGAGGAAACCCTGTAAAGTATGAAAGGTAGAGATTAAAATAAACAGGATAGAGCAACTGAGGACAGATCTTTTGCAGAGGAAAATAACAACCATTATAAACAACTTCAGGGAAATAAGAGAAAATAATACAGCCATGAAATAAGAAGGAGTTACTGTAAAAGAGTTATAATTCTGATTTTTAAAAGAGGCTCTTAGACATTAAAATTCTGATAGAGATCAAAAAAGCTTTGTAGAAGTACTTAGAAAATTAATGTTGAAGAAATCTGTGAAAAAGTCGAGCAAAAGAACAAATGTTACAGAAGAGAAGTGAGGAGTATTAAGAAACTTACAGGGGCAGTCCAGGAATTTCAGTATTCAAATAATAGTAGTTGGGACTTCCCTGGTGGCGCAGTGGTTAAGAATCTGCCTGCCAGTGCAGGGGACACGGGTTCAAGCCCTGGTCTGGGAGGATCCCACATGCTGTGGAGCAGCTGAGCCCGTGCACCACAGCTACTAAGCCTGCACTCTAGAGCCTGTGTGCCACAGCTACTGAAGCCTGCGTGCCTAGATCCCGTGCTCCGCAACAAGAGAAACCACACAATGAGAAGCCCACACTCTGCAACGAAGAGTAGTCCCCGCTCACCACAACTAGAGAAAGCCTGCGTGCAGCAACAAAGACCCAACGCAGCCAAAAATAAATAAATAAATAAATTAAAAAAAGAAAAACAACACCAGTAGCTCCCAGAAGAAACAGAGAAAATGGGGAAGAAATCATCAACAAAATGATTCAAGAAAACTTTCTTGGACTAAAGAACGTGAGTTTCTGGTTCAAAAGGCTTACTGAGTACTCATTACAATGGATGAATATAAACACAAACTAAGACACATCATGGTGAAATTTCAAATCACTGGGTGAAACAGAAGGTCTTTTCATGCTTTCAGAGAGGGAAAAAAATGTGTCAAAGTAACAGGAATCGGTTGGCTTTGGACTTCTTAATGGTAGCATTAGATACTAAATGAGAAATGGAGCATCACCTTCAAAATTCTGAGGGAAAATAATTTCAACCCCTTTGTATTTCATATGCATTGAAACTATTAATCAGATGTAAGAGTTAAATTAAGATGTTTTAAGACATGTAAGGTTTTTTGTTTGTTTTTTTGTTTTGTTTATTTGTTTGCCTACCTTGTACCCTTTCTTAGAAATCTGTTGCAGGATGTGATCCATCAAAATGAGAAAGTCAGCCAAATAATAAAGGGAAAGGTTACAAGAAATAGGAAATTTAACAAAAGAGAAGCGGAAAGAAATCTTCAGCATACAATGAAAAGACAGGGTTGGAGGGTAAACAGACCAGATTGGAGTAGCTTAGAAGCTTCCAGAAGAGCCATTCTCAGGAAAATGAAATTGGTAGAAATCTGATACATTTAATTATCTTTAGAAAAGTTTTAAGTAATTGATGAAAGCCTTAGGGTTGAATTGGTGATAAATACATAAAGTAGTAAGTGAAAAAAGATCTAAACTCAAATAAAAGCAAGTAATGTGTGAAAGGAGATGTTAGAATAAGTTCTCAGTCCTTGGGGTAGTGTCTGGAGTAGCTGAAGTTCATGTCAGTCACCTCCAGTGGTAAACCATATCTGTTTTTTCCAGTGTGGTACAAATATTTTTATTATTTGATTTGGACCATTATGGTTGAGCAGTAGTGCTCTAAAGCAGGGTGAGCAAATCTGGCCCGTGTGGCCTGCTTTTGTACAGTTGATAGATTTGATTTGCTAAGACAGTTTTAATTATTTTTGTATCTGTGTTCATGTGGGATATTGGCCTTTAATTTTCCTGTCTTAGGATGTCTTTGTCTGATTTTTGTATCAAGGTACTCCTGGTCTCATAGAATCAGTTGAAAGTTGAGAGATATTTCTCCCTCTTCAATTTCCTGGAGTATTC